ATATATATATATATATATACAGTATATATATATACTCACAGTGAAAATGCTTATATTTTTTGTTTTTGTTACAAGTGAGAGTATCAGCATAACAAATTGTGTAAGTTTGAACTGGAAAATTAATATGAATTTCTCTATTTCTTGGTATTTAGTTTGTTACCTTTTTGGTTTTATAACAGCAACACTTGAGCTGACATGAACTCTGCAAGTTTGTGGAAAATCTGATGATTATGTTCTCCAACATGATTGGAAAAAGATACAAAGAACATCTTGTGCTGGTGTTACAGAGAATTAGTAAATATTATTAAATATTTATACACACACACATATATATATATATATATATATATATATATATATGTATGTATATGTGTGTCAAGCACAAGCATAAAAGTATATGGTACTTATATTTTATATGAAGCATTATTGCAGTAACATGTACGCAATATTAGAGTTTCACACAGTTCTTTATCATTGTATGTCCTGAGTTTGAAACAGCTCAGTTTAATTTTACCCTGCTAAGCTGTTTTAAGAGCTGAGAAGAACAGATGAAACGGCATATCACGCTGTGTCTGTGTGCATTCTGAGGAAGGGGAAAACTACACACGGTTGACTCTTGTCCTCTCATTGTAATACTGATCTGAAGGCATTCTAGTTAGCATGGAAATAAGTTGAGGCTGTCTTGCAGAGTTATGAGATAGGGAGTGACTGACTGGGGGCCGTGGGGGGTGCACATTGATCTGAAGTTATGAGGACGTACATTTGAGATGTGCTCTCTCTTACTACTCACACAGCAACTCGCACACCCACAGCGTTTGTCATTAGCAGTGATTATATTTCGGCTAGAGTTAGGCTGTTATCTAGGTCTAGCACTCTTCATGTTTTATGAATATTCAAACTACTAAAGTATTTGTATTTAAAGTATTTAAAAAAAAAAGTTTTTTGAAGGAAATGTCAGTGGTGTTGGCCCATGCAGAACTCGCTTAAGTGTTTTCGTGTGGTTGTCAGGGCGTAGTTTTGTGGTTGCTAAGGCATTATGAGTAGTGTTTACTGCAGTGCTAGGTGGTTGCTATACATTTCAAAATATACAGTTGTCCAAAATATTGCTAATATAGATGTTATACATAACTAAAACTTAATCAAAATATTTTTGGCCATTTTTATAATACATTTAATTGAAATATATTGTCCAAAGCAGATCATAAAAAATACATTCTGCATTTACCCAAAATGTTTTTTTATTTATTTGTTTTTTTATAAAACAAAATATATTCTTTCCCCTTTATGTACTTTAATATATTTTGGCATCTAAACAAAATCTGTATTTTTAATTAGAAAATATGTTATTTACAACATATATTTAGCATAAATTTGATAGATATATATTTGCCATATATTTTGGCAGGAAATAAAATTTCACCACATATATATATATATATATATATATACATATCCAAATGCATGTTATTGTGAACTATTCATCCATGCATGAGTTTTCATTTAAATTTGTCATTTTGTCCCCCTTCCTCCAATAACTATATTTCAGTTAAACTGTGGTGATGTCTGCAGGTCTTCTCTATTTAGTCTGCTTAAATACCGCCCCTTTTCATAATAGGCTGCAAGCTCGCATTCAGATCTGCCTCCATCCAATCAACAAACGACTGATTGAACTAAGACACCGCCCTACAATTTATTTTATTTTCGGTAATCCGTTTCACTCAGATGTATGTCACATACGCAAGAAAAGATCTGTTCTTTATTGATTAAAAGAATCTTTATTGGCACTGTAATAAGCACTATTAATAAGACACCAAATACATAACGTGTCGAATAAACCTGCTTTTTTGATAACTGTTCTGTTAATTAAAAAAAAAAAAACCTTTGCCTTTACACAGCTGAAACCTATAGGATGGGATGAGCATGAGATTGATAGTGGAGTGAAGGCTCATGGACTAGAGTGGGTTGGTATGAAGGATGAAAGGGCACCTTTCTGTGTTAATGAGGCATTGATTTCCACATCACTAAATAATGAATTCATAAATTAGGCCTAACCATAAAACACTGTAACTGAAATCTGCCCACTCAGGGAGTTTCTATCTTATAAATGAACCTTGGAGTTGACCATAAGCATTCTTCAACTAGATCTTACGTTCTCTTGCTCACACACACAAATGAAAAAACATAAGCAAGGATCTATCTATCTATCTATCTGTCTGTCTGTCTGTCTGTCTGTCTGTCTACAAAATCACTGTAGCATAGTGCTTTGGGTATTTTTGGGCACCTTATTATTGTAGACTTTTGGCCGTCATAGACAGGATCACAACATTTGTGGGCCAATATACTGCCTAATTTGTTATTACTTTAATCAGCTGTAGTTCATGCCCTTAACTATAGGTATGTTCTACTAAGGTTTGGCAACCAGAACGTTTCCATATTATTTATGTATTAGTTTTTGCAATCTGTCTTTTGTTTTGACAGTTAAAACATATGTTTGTGAGATATTTAGCATGATAAGTGTTCTTGTGCTATATTTGAAATACTTGGTTTGATATTTTATGTAATCTCACAGCATTTATACATTTTTAAGTGTCCAAATACAGTTTGGGGCCTCTGTACTGCATGTAACACCGTGGAAAACAATGAAACTAGAGTGGTCTGGAACCTGCCTCACTCATTGCTCAGGGGTGTAGAATTGCTTTTAGTCACGGCGCAAGTGCGCACCGTAGAGAGCGTCTTCAGCGCGCGCTGTCGCACGCAAACCTTCACTTCACGTGTAGTTCGTGTCAGAACGGGCTGGCAGGCAGGTCTAAGGACCTGGGGGATATTGGAACCCTCTCCTCGTTCATTCGCACCCGCTCTCCTCCCCCCACACCCTGTCGTAGCAGTACAGAAAGCCAACAATCAAACAGCTGTCGACTGGCGGCTCGAGTCGCGCGCGCTACATCACCAATGCCGGGAAACCGTCAGCTCTCTCGCGCGCGGACGGACAGCGACGATGTGAAGCAGTGACCGCGAGAATGGACCAAAGGAACTACTTCGCCGTTCTGCTGCTCGCTTTTCAGGTCCAACTCACATTTGGAGAGTTCTTTCCAGGCAAGTTTGCATTCTGTTCTGTATCTTTTTAGCCACTTTGCGGAGGTTGGCGAGCTTTGAATGCCGTAACCCAAGACGGGATGAAACTTTAATAATTGAAATCTTGTTTATTAATGCCGATGTTCAGACGGGAGATGTAACATTAATGTTAGATGAAAACGAATTCCAGAAGATCTACTGTTGCTTTATTTGTCGTTTGTGACTTTTTATAGTCGAATCATACCTTTTAATGACTGATCTGTATCGTTATTTACCTCAGTTTTTTCTTGTGGAGCCAAGCGTATCTCATTTTGACCGGAAAGATGACTGGTTTCTCTTAAAGTATTGTTATTAGGCTATATTATATTATTATATATTTAATCTATTTAAAATGACTGTATGTTAAGGCTATTCTAGGCTCAAGCTGTACATTTATAAATGACACCTCAGACTGGATTAAGAAAAGTTTACTCCGTCAATAATACATAGCCTACTTAGTACGCTCATAATTAAAATAGCTATTAGTACTTTGTGACTGGGATAATTAATTATATATGTTTGCGTTTGCCAACGGTCGGTTTGGGGAACTGTTGAACACAGCGATTAGATCTTAAAATAGTCTCGTATCGAGTGAGCGAATCGGCCACCGCGTCCGTGCAGTTGTAAAAAGGCTGCAGTTCATCCCTCCGCCAGAGGGTGGCGCTCTGGGCACATCCAAACCATGAACCACAGCATCACTGGTTGTGCCGTGGGTTGATGAGAAATTGTCCTAGAACAGGAAAGATTTATGTTTCTTTTGTTTTGAATATGATAAATATTTTTTGAAAAGCAAATTTTCCTTGTCATAAATAACCCGCTGTGTTCAAAGACAATACCGAAGAGCTACATTATAACAATAATTATATAGTTAATCGATAGGAAAATTTCTGAAAAGAACTAAACATGTTTTCACATTTATTTGGAAGAAATTATATAAGACAGAATTGTCTAGTTTTATTTGACTTGAAAGGTAATAAAAGACAATAATTGTTCAAATAGCTGTTTTAATGTTTAAATGAAACCAAGAATTTCTTGAAGAAAAGGTCTTGTACATTAAAACTTAATTGATGTCTTAAATTTAAATAAAGTGATGCCAAAGTGACAACTTATGGTGATAACAAGTTTCTTACACTTGTTCACATTTGAATTTAATTATTAATTACTGAAATGGAGTTGAATCTCTGAGAACTTACAATTAAGAAAAATAGCAGAAATTATTGTACTAAATTAGATGGACGGTAACAAAGGTGTTGATATAACAATGGTGAAAACGGTTTCTTCACTTTATTTACAATAAATGATTACAAAATGGAACAAAAATGATTTTAACCAATAGTTTAATTATGCTCTTTATTAATTAGGTTTATTAAGTTTATTAATTATCACGCATGCATTGTTTAATAACTGTTGTTTGTGCATTTCAGCTTTTGCCTTGAGGTCTGTGTGTTAAAGACTAACACTCAGACAATAAAGTTAATCAACAGACAACCACAATGGACACATATTAAAATAGAATTCACTAATTCACTTCTGGGGCTTGATTAATAAAACCAGGAAAATTTCACAGGACTTACAGAAATATCTGTTGGCTTTGTTTGTTTGACACTTCATGTGCTGCTGACCTGTTGAGCAAATACGATGTGCTTCTGTTATATCTTTCATGGCTTAACATGTTCATTTAATAAGCCCCCAGACCAGTGTTTTAAAATTGCTTTTAGTGTCACGTCTGTAGCCTGGCTCTTGTTGCGAGGATAATTTGTGTTCCATTCTATCTTTGCTTGTAATTTTGGCAGGGCCAACAAGACTTTCTCTGTGCTTCAGTGAACAGCTTGACAAGTATAGGCCTATCTTTATTCACCAGTATGAGGAAATGAAAGCAAGGCTATCAACATAAAAAGACACCAACAAAAAAGTACATCTTTTTTTTGGATGTGGTTCTATGGTATTACTGTAGTATTCTTTTTGAAGTAGCATTTATATTCTATGGGATGTGAGTATGGTGGTCATTTAGTACCATGATATATATCAAAGTACTATGGTATTACTGTCTAATTTCATTATTGTTGAGACCCTCAGGGCCAACAGGGCATAAAGCCTCTATCACATTTAATCCACATATTGATGGACATCTCTCATACTTTATTGATGTTTACTTCATTTATAAGCTGTTTTAGTGCACAACTGGTGCAGTAGGTCTACATGGGCGAAGCGGATGAGTGTGCCATAATTGATTTAAAAGAGGCAGTTATCCCACTGAAAGATTTCCATTTGGCATTTAATCAACCAATACAATATTGTAGTGTTATTTATTGTAGTGAAAATTATGTTATTTAAGTTTTACATTTCATATTTAAACACTAATGAAGAATTCCCATGTGTGTTGGACACTTGCCGACTGCTTTTTCTTCACACACCGGTCCAACATTTCCATAAAAAAGAAATGAATAAAAATAAAATAAAAATATAAAATAATCTATTTAAAAAAATTAATAAAAATTAAAAAAATTTAAATTTAATTATATTTCGTCTTGAAAAGTAATTTCAGGCATTTAAGCAGAAGCCTTTATACCAAAATGTTGTTAAGATCATGAGAAACAAGAAAAAAGAAAAGTGTGTCCAAAGGTTTGACTAGTAGTGCATTTTTTGGTTCTATATTCAAGTTCCATGGCATTACCACAGTATTTAAATGTACTTCAAAGAGTATCATCATATTACCATTGTGCTTTTTGCCACTCTTTTTGTTAATGATAACATAAGCTTGCTTGAGAATGGTGCTTTCTTTCTATAATCTAGTTTTTAATTATTTTAGGCTGTTTGACTTCACCATTTATATGGCAAAAAGGGTTTACTGAACAAAAGAAATAATTTAGTTGTATCAAAAAACATACTTAAAGGTTCCGGGTCCTGTGATGATGAGGGCCCTCTATGTTCCTGTGATATAGCCTAAGTTTTCTCACTGGAGCCTGGTGGTAGGGTGGCCCACCCATGTAAATTTATCCCCAGGCCCCATCTGTTTTAGCAGCGGCATGATAATTTATTGCGAGGCCAGTTTAGTTTATCTAACTCAGACGCATCATTTTTTTTATTTGCCTGGCAGAAGTTTTAATTTCATTGAGGTTGCGAGGATTATTAATAAGAATGATTAATTAAAACTAATGAGAGATCATATACCCTGAGGGAGCTGTGGATTTGTCTCCCTGTCTGTCTCCTGCTCCCTGACAGCTACTCATTTGTAGCTCAGTGAAGTCTCTTATCCTCCGCACACTGCCAGACTAATAGCTAATCCAGAAACTGCCAGGCTACTGGATAATCCAGTTCACTCAGTGTATGTGTTTCTTTGGGCTTCTAGATGAATTCTAATGTAACTTAAGCATGAGGCATTTAGGAATTCATATATACTGCTTTTTCCCTACTGTTGTTTCTTTTCTAATATTTTCTGTTCATCTTTTCCTTCACTATGTCTTTCTGAAGGTCAGACTGTGCTTCTATGAGTGTTTACTTCTGTAGTTGAAGGATTCACTTATTGCATTCACTTATTTGTATGCATTTAACCCTTGTAGCTTTGAATAGATTGTATATATGGTTATGAATTCATATGCAATCATATTATTATTATTATTTAAAAAATGTCTACGTAAGATTTAGGGCTGCACGATAAATCGCATGCGATATTTAACGCGCATCTTGTCAGAAAGCCGGTTCTGTAATCAGCGTTAAATCGCCATCACCTGCGGGCTTTCACATTGAGCAGCATTAACTACACAGAGCCGTTGTTCACTGACGAGTTGCGCAAAACCACGTTCATATTCGCGTGATTTTTTGCGCAGCTCGTCAGTGAACAACGGCTCTGTGTAGTTAAAGCTGCTCAATGTGAAAGCACGCAGGTGATGGAGATTTACCGCTGATTACAGAACCGGCTTTCTGACAAGATGCGCATTAAATATCGCATGCGATTTATTGTGCAGCCCTAGTAAGATTCATTGTCCTTATGCAACCCTCAAGTTAGATCAAGGGTCGTCAACCTTTTTCAGGCCGTGACCCTGTACATTTTATAGTCTAATTTTTTTTTGTGCAAATTTTTTATTCAGATAGAAATTTAATAAAAACTTTAAATATAAAACAAATATATACTTAAATATTTATATATTAAAACCACAATTTTAAAGTTAACTTCAACCAATGCTAAGGTTAAATGAATATATTTACAATTTTACATATTTACATTTTATATATATATATATATATATATATATATATATGTAAATGTCTAATTCCTCGATGTGTTATCTTTTTGAATGTTTGCCAACACTCTGATTTACACACATTAGAAATGGCAGAAATGAGCCTTGAACACACGGTCCAATGGGTAAAAGCTCCTTATAATGAACAGAATGCTCATTCCTTCTCCGACTACTTTGTCTGAGCCAGGGGTGCCCAAACTCGGTCCTGGAGGGCCGGTGTCCTGCAGAGTTTAGCTCCAACTTGCCTCAACACAC